TTCCAGTTATCGGATTCATTCATAAAATATTTATCAGAATATGATCTAACTTCAGATGTTGAGCCACCAGCAAAGAAAATGAAGTCATTATAATATTTTATTTAAATTAAGCTAGTATTCCTGTAAAGTTAAGCGTACTAGATGACGCTTGAATAACTCCTACACAATAAAATTGACATAAAATGTAAATCAATTTTATTTGACGAAAATAAACACAAAATATCAGGCTGGTATTTAAACATTTTTATAGTATATAGTGTAAGCGTAATGGACGGAAACGGTTGGGGGACAACGAGTTGTATTTTAATACAAAATTAAAGAGTATCTTAGTAAAATATAAGAACCATACATAAAATACTTCATCTGCAAATATCCTATCGATTGTCTCAAACTTTATTGCTCTCAGTCCCCGTTCTCTTCGATTCTATCTTTACAACCTGCCTCCAGGCATTCCACTTCTGACCGATGTCACATACTACTTATATCGACATAAGTAGCATACACCACATGAGCACATCAAAATAGAGATAATAACCAACAATAAACCATAAAATCCTGACAATTAACCACATAGTCTTTTACAACTATCCAAATTCCCTATAATTCTATTTATTTTACTTTTCTGCTTGTAATCCCGTCCAGTAAAGTTTGTACAAGATCTGCTGTTGTAGAAGTGAAAACCTGAAGCGATGCGTTTATGCAAAATTCTACTAACCAACTAACTTTAGAATACTAGCCGATGGAGTTTGAGAGGCAACTCCTTTCAATTCATATCGGTACTGTGATAACACCCTGACAAATCCTTCTGCTATGGACAAAGATTGATGGTGGCTAGCAGTGGAATCCAGGACGCGCATTTCTTCCTGTTTGGGATTCGTCAACTGAATGTACCTGCATGCTAGATTTGATGTTCACTCCGGGACTCCAACCAGTACCGTTCGCCGAAAATGCTATCGCATTATTCACTTAGCACAAGCTAGTGGCTATCTGAACTCGGTAGCTAAACGGATAATACGATGACGTTGGAATCGAAGGGTAGGGAGTTTCAGTCGCGGAGTTAATATCGACTCGGATATGCAGATACATCCAAATGAAAAGTCCCAGATAAGAAAAGACGCACGTCCTGGATTCCATCACTAGCTACCACTCATTCTTGCTTATAATGCTTGTGACCTAAGGTAATATTGAGGCAATTCGTACAGGAAGCGCGTATTCCAATAAGTGGTTGTTCATTTAAAGATCTAAACATCAACGGAAAGATTCAATCAAACAATGCGAAAATAAATACATCCTTCATCTGTTAAAAGAGATGGCTTTTGCTTTGTCCACTTCTACCCACAATAATTAGCAAAAACTACTTCAAAGATGGTAGATAATAGTTTTCGCAAATACTTTGACTGATCTATCTTTTAGGAGTACTGCTAATGATCACATTAAAAGTCTCTACATGTCATTTAATTAGTGAGACAATCTAATGTAGGTAACGACTCTTGCTTATGTGGATTGTTCAAATACATTATCTGGTTCCATGAACTTGCCTGTAGGAGCAACTCGATCATTTCATTTTGACACTTCAACTAAGTCTACGCCTACTGTGGAACGTCACGATTCATATGTAGCTACACGTACATACCTCTTACGAACGTAAATCGCGCGAATACCGGTATGTGAAAGGCCATATGGCTTGTTGAAAATGGTTCTTAATGATCGTGGTACGGAGATGTAAATGATCATCAGCTGTTGCTCTGTTCACGACCAAATAGTCAATATATACGTAAGAGGGCGAATTCTAAACTATCTGTTCAATAAAGCGAGATGCTTCTGCAACATTAACTTTGAAAACTTGTAGTTTGCTTCACAAAATTTCGGTCCGCAAACATTTGATTGCTAGTACGCGGTAGTCAGCGGATAGCCAAATCCTTCCAAATAATCATATCCAACAAAGAGGACTTAGACTGCAAAATGGCCCAGTTTCAGCAGTTTACCAAATCCATCTTTTGCAATTTGTAGTTTTTTTATAATGCAATCGACGTGATATTACAGCAACTGGTAGACTGTACGTTACAATGTGATGCATAATTGAATGCTTCATTGTAGTCTCAGTGGCTGGGTTTTGTTGATGCAGACTCTGAAAGTAGCTTGGTATAGATGCAACTAAGCTTTGTTGTCACTAATTGATTCATGGATTGTAAGTCGGACAATATATTATGTTTATTGTTTATAAACCGATAAAGCTTGGTTTCTTCCAATATCACTCGCGGAAAACCAATTTGTTGCATATTATGCAGTAGTAGCCGTCGATTACCTAGTTGATAAGACACCGACGATTGAGGAGAGCAGTGCATAGATTGACAGATTAGCTGAAATCACTGGTAGCATTAACAAAGAGTGATCATCTGCCCTTAACATTAATCAGATAAAACAAATGAAGAATACGATGTTAGATTTTGGGCCAAGTACTAAGTTTGGTTCCTATACATATACTGCATTTCAGTTTCATAAAGATCAATCATGAACTTCACGTAGGAACCATCACAATTTTTATGGTTGTCATCAGTATTGAAGTAAATCTTCAAAAATCAATATGACCTTCCAAACTTATTGAATGCTGTATCAACACCAAAGCCTGAATGATGAACGTTGGATAGTCTCATGTTGAATGTAAAAAGAATTAACATAGGTCGGGTAATAAAAAATTCTCGCATGATTTATGAACCCACAAATCGATTCAATGAACAAGCGTGCAGTAATATCCCTGCTTGTAATCCTAAATTTCTAAAACAAAAACCACATGTAACATCTGACTTGGGATGTGCTGTTTTCCTATCATCTCATAAACATAAAGCTGTCGACTGAGTACATGTATGGTTTTCAAAACCAACTTGTATCGCTAAAGCTTTTGACACTAGACTAAAACATATCAAAAACAATTCGCAAGTCATTCACTCAATTTATTTACCGAGTACATGTTGGCTTCGAGTCACAATCCCAGTGTAAGGATTATTGAAATTACTCGGTTACCCAAACCCAAGTTAGTGGAACGGGGTTTGAGCCTGAGACTTACTAGCTGAAAGTCAAGCGCCATAACTGCTGACTAATTGATTAGGCAGTGTGAAGATATTGGAATATCTTAAGAACTACATCAGTAGATGTGAAGTTTGATAACCACTATTTACAACCAATTATCCGAATCAATGAATAAGTTACATAAGAATAGGGTTAATACGATGTTTATATACACAAGAAGTTGAAGGAATTTAAACGAAATTACATTATAAACGAGGTTTAATTTTTGTTGAACGTTTGTTATCACCTAAAATTTTCGTCAGGTCATCGTAACTGAGAACTTCGTTCTTTAAAAGAGCATCAATAAGTGCTAACAGGTTGTCCTTATTTTCTTCCAACATTTTTACAGAACGCGAAAATGCTGAAGATAAAAGTTGATTGGCTTCTATTTCCATGATGGCTTCCGTTTTTTGACAGAACGGTTTCAGAGAGGACAATCCACTGGATGACTCATCCTAAAATGTAAATGAAAATGATTACTGAGTAATCTTACATAATAAATGTACAGGAGCACGAGACTTGTCTGTAGTTTCAGACAACCTGACTTAAATAACTTTGATAACTAATTTCAATCCACTGTCTACGATCGCGATGGTGTCAATAGAAAAATTGTCAGATAAGTCGTACTTACTCTAAGCCATAATTACAATCTAAACAGATAGCCTAACACATACGATAAATGGCTGGCTTCATTATGATCTATTTAACTCCAAGTATCGGATAAAAGAGGTGGGTCTGACTAAAAAAACTCGTTCACTGTAGTATTTGTACGAACTGATGATTCCTTTGTACTTGATTTCCTGCTAATTACGAATTACAGATATAATACGTTCATTGTGCTCATATAATGCTGTCTGCCTCAAAGTGTACTATTTAGGGAATTCTTAGTACATTAATCCGAACACTTTTATTTATCATATTGGCGTCGCGATGGAGTCAAATTTCGGACAGTTGGATATTAACCCAAGTAAGGATGACTTTGAGAACCACATATAGCGCTTCAAGATCTGGTGCATCACTAGAAAACGTATTAAAGATGATAAATTCACAGCCTAATTCCTGACGTTCTTGGGGAAAGAAGATTATAACCTGCTGAAGAATCTGACTCCACAAAAACTATAAATCACTCAGAGAATTATCACATAGTCATGTGCAGTGTACTAGCTATAAATGTAGAGAGACATCGAAGTTTTATAAAATGATCAGAAAGTTAAGGTCTTATACTTGAACTGTAGAAACAGGTCGCGAAGCGCAATTTCGCAGACCGATTGGAAAGTTTCGTGATCAGTTGATTGCTGGTATAAATATTTCGAATTAAGGAAGGGAATTAATTCAGCAGCGCAAAAGTTCATCCCAAGAAATCTAAACAGTGAATGAGGTTGATTTGTAGTCAGTGAAAATTTCTAGTACTTTGCTTAATCATCGTGATGAACTACATTCTCAGCAACACTCAAACTCGCATTTGCTTAATAATGGTTCCCATTCTCATAGAAATATGGAAAGTGGTTTAACATGAGCACAGGTTTGGTAGATGTTTATCCTGTTGTAAATTTCACTTACGTAATCCATGTGTCTTTCGTCATGCCAAATGCTTTATGTGTGGTAAAATGGAACACATCATGTCGGTCTGTAAAGCTACTGTTCATTTTGCCACTAGTGATGATAAACCCAATAATTCTGATTTTATTCAGTTGAGTGTTTCTAATCATCATTTATCTCCATCCACGATTTCGAAAGGTAATGTCCATATTCAGAAGACATTATTATGTACATCACATGGTTCATTTCATGACTTTAGTGCTGACACAGGCAGTAATGAGTCTAATATTTCATACAAGAACTTGAAAATGTTAGATTCTAACGTTGTAGTATGACCCACTGAAGTCTTAGTATTGGGATTTACTGGACAAAAACCACCCATACGATGATGTGTGAATTGATGATTAGAAATGATAATTCCTCATAATGCCTTGTGAGGTTTTAGTTAGTGAAACAGGACCCTCATTACTGGGTTTGAAAAGGCTTAAAATAGAGTTCTTTATTAGTTTCTAAAGAAGATTCTATCGCTTTACTTAAAGATTTAATAGCTGCGTGTGCTAAGTGCAGTGGAGGGATGAGAATTCAGCACATAGAAATTCAAGTACAGAGTGATCCAGTTTGTCTTAAAAATACGAATAATTCCTTATCGTCTTTGAGAAGTGGTACTTAAGACATTGAATTATTCGTACCCCTATAATATGTGGTAACTATTGATTTATATTGAACTCCCGTTTGTTGAAGCAAATATGCACAACGGTGAAAGCTGAAAATATTCTTAATAGACTTCATGGTTTTAAGGTATTATTGAAAGTTAACTTAAAAGATGCTTATTTTCAAACCCCTTTAGATCAATTTTCATCTACTTTGACAACAACTAATACTCTTTTGGCCTGTTCAAATACAACTTCCTTACATTTGGTCTGAGTTGTTCTCCAACCACATTTCAGGAATTGATGGATAATGGAGTTAGTGATCTTGAAGATGTTGAATTTTATCAAGATGACGTCATTGCTCATGATTCTGATGAGATGGTTCATGACCAGAGACTTATTGCTTTATTGCATCGTTTAATTGAGAAGAATATTACAGTGAATCCAAATAAGTGTTCATTTTGTGTATCTAGTCTCGAATGTCTTGGATACCTAGTTGATGGTAATGGTTTTAGACCAGATATGAAATGACTAGCTCCACTGACAAATGCACCGTCTCCAAAAAAATCTTACAGAACTACGTTCACTAGTGGGTGCTCTTCAATACTATTCCCGTTTTGTTACAAATTTTTCTTGTCGCGTAAATTGTTTATTTAATATTTTGACATCCAATTCATTCAAATGGGGTGACGAACAAGAGTCATGCTTACGAAGTCTACTAAATTTTCTTCAAAGTAATGGTGTTCTTCGAACTTACTCCCCTAGTGTACATTCTGTGCTTAATACTGATGCATAACCTATGGGTATTGGTGCAGTTTTGGAGCAGGAAGGTAGACCAGTTATCTGTGTTTCATACAAGCATACTGTTACTGAACAAGGTCATTCACTAACTCACCGAGAAGCATTAGCTGTGTTTTGGGCTGTTAAAAGACTTCATTAATATTTATTTGGGAAGAAATTCACTATTGTTACTGATCATGAAGCTTCAAAGTTTATTTATCACTCTGAAAAATCTTTAGCACGTTCCTCAGCTCCTATGGTTCAACAATGAAGTATTGCCCTGAGTGCCTATGACTACATTTCTCGACAATCATTACAATATAGACCTGTTAATACCTCAGACTGTTTGTTAGTGAAACCTTTACCGATGAGACGTCCAGATCTCATTAGTGAAACTCGTGGAAGCTTTGGATATATACTCAGTGCTATGCGGAAAGGTTGTAATGCTAATCTGAAACGTAGATTTCCTGTCTATTTTGTGTTTAAATGATCGTGTTGTTATCCCTCCTTCATTACGTAAATCTGCCTGTGAAAATCTTTATTAGTAGACATTTAGGTGTTGATAAAATTAAGTCCTTGACAAGACTCACACGTTGGTGGCCGGAGTTTACTTACTTACTTACGCCTGTCACTCCCAATGGAGCATAGGCCGCCGACCAGCATTCTCCAACCCACTCTGTTCTGGGCCTTCTTTTCTAGTTCCATCCAATTCTTGTTCATTTTTCTCATGTCTATTTCCATTTCCGGGCGTAATTTGTTCTTTGGTCTTCCTCTTTTCCTTTGGCCTTGAGGATTCCATGTGAGGGCTTGTCTTGTGACGCAGTTGGATGCTTTCCTCAATGTGCGTCCTATCCACTTCCAGCGCTTCTTCCTGATTTCTTCCTCCGCTGGGATCTGGTTTGTTCTTTCCCACAGTTGGTTGTTGCTAATAGTGTCCGGTCAACGGATCTGAAGTATTTTGCGTAGACAACTGTTAATAAACACTTGTATCTTCTGGATGATGGCTTTCGTAGTTCTCCAGGTTTCCGCCGCATACAGTAGAACTGTCTTGACATTTGTATTGAAAATCCTGACCTTGATGTTGGTTGACAGTTGTTTTGAGTTCCAAATGTTCTTTAGTTGTAAATATGCTGCTCTTGCTTTACCGATCCGCGCTTTAACATCCGCATCAGATCCACCATGTTCATCAATGATGCTGCCCAAATATGTAAAGGTTTTTACATGTTCCAAATCTTCTCCGTCAAGTGTGACTGGATTGATGCATGCTGTGTTGTATCGGAGAATCTTGCTTTTCCCTTTGTGTATATTGAGACCTACTGCTGCTGAAGCTGCTGCTACACGGTTCGTCTTCTCCTGAATCTGTTCTTGCGTTTGGGATAGAAGGGCCAGATCATCTGCGAAGTCTAGATCGTCCAACTGCATCCTAGATGTCCACTGCATCCCGCGTTTCCCGTCAGATGTTGACGTCTTCATGATCCAGTCGATCACCAGGAGAAAGAGAAAGGGTGAGAGTAAGCAACCTTGCTTGACACCGGTCTGTACCTCGAACGAGTTTGTCACTTGCCCTCCATTCACAATTTTGCAGTTTAACCCATCATAGGAATTCCGTATTATATTGACTATCTTCTCAGGCACGCCATAGTGTCGAAGAAGCTTCCATAGTGTTGTCCTGTCCACACTATCAAGTGCTTCCTCGTAATCAATGAAGTTGATGTAGAGTGATGAATTCCATTCAGTTGATTGTTCCACGACGATCCATAGTGTTGCGATTTGGTCTGTACTCGATCGATCCTTGCGGAATCCAGCCTGTTGGTCTCGAAGTTGGGCGTCCATGGAGTCTTTCATCCTGTTTAACAATACCCTGTTGAAGAGTTTTCTTGGTATTGAGACAAGAGTGATTCCCCTGTAGTTATCACACTTACTGTGACCGCCTTTTGTTGGTATTTTGACCAGAAGTCCTTCTTTCCAGTCTGTTGGTACTTGTTCTTTATCCCAAATCTTGCTGAAAAGAATGTGGAGTATCTTTGCAGTTACTGCTACATCTACTTCCAGTGCCTCTGCTGGAATGTTTTCTGGTCCTGCTGCTTTGCCGCTCTTGATTTGTCTGAAGGCCATGTTGATTTCTTCAATTGTTGGTGGGCCAACATTGATTGGGTGGGTTCAGTGGGGTTGGTCGACTCAAGTGTTCTACCCACCTGTTTTGTTGCTCTTCAATGTTGGTGATTGCCTCGCCTTCCTTGCTTTTCACTGGTCGTTCTGGTTTGCGGCGATTTCCAGAGAGTTTCTTTGTTGTGTCATACAGTTGTCTCATGTTTCCTTCTCTTGCAGCCTTTTCCGCCGTCGTTGCTAAATCTTCCACGTATTTACGTTTGTCGGTTCTGATGCTCCTCTTCACTTGCTTGTTTACTTCTGCCTATTCAGCTTGTGCCTTGGCTTTCTCTGCCCTTGTTCGGCTGGTATTGGTTGCTGCCTTCTTTTGCCTTTTTTTTGAATCTTATCCAGTGTATCAACAGTGATCCATTCCTTGTGATGGTGCTTCTTGTGGCCCAGAACCTCATGACATGTTGAAGTTATTGCTTCTTTGATCCCTTTCCAGTTGCTCTTCATAGTAGTTCCTTCTCCATTGAGTAAATCGTGGAAGGCCCGGAACTTATTGCTGAGGACTATCTTGAATTTGTTGAGTTTGTCAGTATCCTGAAGAAAGGCCGTATTGGACTTCTGTGATGTTGTGCGCCCCGTTGTCCAGTGCTTCTTGAGTTTCAATTTCATCTTAGCGACCAGTAAGTGATGATCTGATGCTATATCAGCTCCTCTTTTGGTTCTCACGTCTTCCATCGTCCTCCTGAACGTCCTGTTGATGCAGATATGGTCGATTTGGTTTTGTGTAGCGTGATCCGGTGAAGTCCATGTGCTTTTGTGAATGCGCTTATGTGGGAATATGGTGCCGCCTATGACCAGTTTATTGAAGGCACATAGGTTTGAAAATCTCTCACCGTTTTCGTTCCTTTATCCCAGACCGTGTCGTCCCATGATGTCTTCATATCCGGTGTTGTCCATTCCAACCTTGGCATTGAAATCTCCCATCAGAATGGTCAGGTCCTTTGTTGGACACTTCTCGATGATTGACTGCAGCCTATAGTAAAATTGATCTTTAGCGTCTTCATTGTAGTCGTTGGTAGGCGCATAGCATTGAATGATGTTCATTGAAATGTGCTCTTTCTTCGTTTTGAAGGAGACTTTGATGATCCTTGGTCCATGAGATTCCCATCCTATAAGTACATTTTGTGCTTGTTTGGACAGCATCAATGCGACTCCTTGTGTATGTGGGGCATTTTCTTCATCATGGCCGGAGTATAACAGAAGCTCTCCTGAAGCTAGTCGTTGTTGTCCAACTTGCGTCCAATCTGTTTCACTGATCCCAAGCACCTCTAGGTTGTATCTCCTCATTTGTGCAGAAATTTGGAAGGCTCTTCCAGTGTCCCACATTGTACGAACATTCCATGTACCTAAATAAATGGTTGCTCTGATTGTCAGAAGGGGCATCGGCCTCGTGACTTCCGAAGGAACTCGGCTTTCATCATGAGGCGTCGTAGTTCTTCTAAATGAAGACCTTCTGACTCCCAGGGCAGAGTTTAAGAGGTTTGAATAATTTTTTCTGGTTAGCGTTTTATTAGCGAGTTAGTTTTCTACAGGATGGGGTCGCTAACCCCATGCCCAACCCTCCTCCTTTATCCGGGCTTGGGACTGGCAGTAGCCCCCGGAGGGACTCCAGGCGGAGTTGGTGGCCGGAGATAAATGCAGATATATGTCGTACGGCAAACAATTGTGGAAAATGTCATAAGTCGAAAAGTCAGCCTTCGAAGTGGACTCCATGGCCAATATTGTCTGAGGCCTGGCAGAGAATTCATGCAGACAATTGTGGCCCATTTCTTGGCAAATACTATGTACTAGTAGTCGTGATTCTTTTTCAAGGTGGCCTGAAGTTTTTCCCACAACTTCACCAAATTCTGACTTCACAATCCGAGCATTAATAAAAGTGTTTAGTCGGAAAGGGGTTCCTATGGTATTATTGGCTGATAATGGCTCTCATTTCGCTGCAGACTCAGTCACTACCTGATTGAATGATATAGGGTACAAGCACCTATTCACCGCTCCCAGGCTCCCTTGTTCTAATGGTCATGCGGAAAATTTTGTCAGGACATTGAAAACTGCTATTGACTCTTTTAGTGCCCCAATATTTAATGAACTGGAGAGGGGAGTAGATACTTTTCTACTGCAATATAGAAATGCTAAACATTCTGTGACGAAAGAGACTTCATCAAAGCTAATAAAAGGAATAATTCTTTGTTCGAATATGAGGTGTTTAGAGTCTGCAGAAGTTACATGTTATCGTGGAAATGATCTTCGACTAGCCACTGGAATCGTGGTGAACAGTGTTGGGAAATCTATGAGTCGAATTCAAGATATCAACGATTTAAGTATACACAAATGACATGTATATCGAATACAATTCCAGGAACCAGGTGAGTCTATTCCAATTTGCGCTGTTAATTCTAATACTAATGAGCGCATTCTAGATCATAAAGAGTCTTTATCTAATACACAGTCTGACAGACATACGATGAACTTAAGGACAAGTACAACCGATTATAGAAATTTAGATTCTCACACATGCCACGGCGGACGTGGTATTTGTACGAACTAATGATTCCTTTATACTTGATTACGAACTACAAATATAATCCGTTCATTTGTACTCATATAGTTCTACCTGCTTTAAATTGTACTATTTTTGGAATTTCTAGTTCGTACATTAATTCGAATACTTCTAATTATCATAATCAGAGAATACGATTTACAGTATTTGGAAATGCTTGAAACTAATTAATTAATTATAAAACTTGTACATGGTTGCATAGAAGCTGTAACGCATCGGCGCATACGGTCGAAATGATAACTGATACCTTTTCCTTTTGTGACTACTTCTGAGTATCCTAACCCAACATTATGTATATGAACAGCAAAGGGACAGATTTAGTGCAACGTTGACACTAGTGAGGTCATAGGTCAGTACAACAGGTATCTCATATAAGCCCAAAAATCTATTTCTAAACAGATACGTGAAAAATGTATTACCATTAGGTCATTGGGAATTTCAACAATTTTTATGTAACAGAATTTAATAATGTTATCCAGATCTATTTGTTGTTCGATCCGCACCGTGCTGTGAAATTTTAAGGAAAGAAGCTATAACTTCAGGCGCGCTATTACAGTAGATCGACTAAGTTTTTCTACTGGATGAAAGCTTTGACAAAACAACTATTTATCAAATCTAAACGATAAATATAATCAAAAATCTCTCAAAACTAGCGACTTGGGAGAAAAATAAACACAGAATTCAATGTACGTTTTAAGTGAACACGGTGAGAGGAACAGATAAATGAATAATTCATTGAGTATTTAACGGAATTGGAAAATATTCAAAGAATTACGTGGATTCGTTTGAACTTCAACTTTTATGTGTCTGGGATCTGTTAAGAATGAGATGCTTCCTAAAAGTCATATCCGTGACAACCAATTATTTTTTTAAATACACATGTAGATACACGTACAAACGTTTCACTGATGTGGAAGAGAGAATAAACGGCATTTCCTAAACATTGAGAGATGTTTACATTTTATATCTTGAAGTCTGTGCTCAATTAGTAACAAACTGATTGGCGTGGTTGTTATTAGTTAGAAATGATGAACAGATATCTTAGTACAAACTAGAGTAAGTTATAAACCAAACAGAAAAAGTGTTTTATCAAAGTTAGTACACTCACGTCAAAGCTGAGGTTTCCAATATTCTTAGACATTCCAAACTTACGTACTTGCTTCATTGCTAATTTATTAGCTTCCTGAAGGTATTTTTGCGAAACTAAATATTAAATGAATAGAATATGAAAATGACATTTCATCGTACATACAGATGTGAGGGAAATTTCGAAAACAAAATTAGGGTATGAAAACTAATAAGCATCCAAATTTACTCAACATCAGGTATGTGTGTGTACTTTGAACTATGGATGTTTCGTACTTGTAATTTTTTTCCTAAGTACGTTAGAAACAGTACAGCCAGACTCAAAAACAGATAAATATCATTCTCCGGTACCATGCTTTAGCAAGATAAAAACTAGTGTCTAATATTCAGACAATGAACAGATATACATTTAAAAAAATGTAAACTAACGGGAAACACACAAAATGAACTAACCATCTGAAATTGCATTGTATACAACATGCTCAGCTGCTCTACCACCCAGTAATACAGACATACGATCAGCTAGATCATCAGTATTAAGTAAATATTTTTCTTCTGATATTAATTGAGTAAAACCCAGATCTCCAACAGTATCTGGACCAGAAACCGTACGCGGTATAATTGAGACTTTTATAGGTAGTACTCCACTATCTGAAAGAAGCCATGCTACAAGAGCCCTACCAGATTCATGGACAGCAGACATGTGGCGTTCAGCAACCGTAAGTGGATTTGAATGTTTTGCAGCGCCTACACAATGAGAATAAAGTCATTAGTCATGAAAAAATTATTTTATACGTAATATTCTTTAGACTAAATAAACTTATTTCTATTAAAGATTATTTTTATTAAAATCTGAAACAGTAAAGTAATCTGTCGATGATAAGCACTAAAAGGTAAACTGATTACTCAAAAATGTAGAAACAAAACTAGCCAACTTATTAGCAAGAATTTAGACATTTTTCATACAAAGTATAAAAAAAGAAACCGTTAGGAAATCCACGGAAAAAAAGTTTAAAACAGCTAACTATAATTAAATATCTACAGGCAAAAAAAACAACCTGCTACTATTCTTTCAAGTGCTGCTTCAAAATCAGCTTTAGTAACACCAACAACTTTATCATCTCTTCGAGCAGCAGACAAAGCAGCTTCATTGCATAGACGTGCAATATCGGCTCCAGACATTCCGGGACACCAGGCTGATAAACGTTCAACAAGTTCATTTTGTACAACATCAGGAGCAAGTTGATATTTAGCTGAAATTGAAGATAAAAAGATAGAATACGAATTAAATTATGATTGAATAAAAATGTAGAAAAAAAAACATTCTAAAAGTCATTTGAATTATTACTCAATTTGAAGGCAAAGAAAGATCAAGTTTAACTGTTTCACGGAGTGTTGATATATTTTATAGCATAGTTTTGTAGACAAAATGCTTTAAGTATATATGTAAAGTGTGAAAGCTATACAGTTCAAGTATAATACGATTAAATAAAATTTACTAAAACTATTTTAATTCTTTTTTAATTCATAAAACAATGAATTTTTAGGCAAAGGTAAAACAGTATACTTAGTTAGCCTAAAATAATCCAAGTTATTTATATTCTGATCTTATAAATGATATATATATATACTTAGAAACTAAAAGATATTACCAAGAATCTGGATTCTTTGTATTATTTCAATTTGAACCAGTTAAGCAGAAACTGATCATAAATAATGTCAAAATATGATTTTAATCTATTTATTTCTATTCTCTTTTTGAAACTATCCACTCAATGGACAGTAACTTTTTATTATTCAGGTTAACAGCTATGTCGTTCTTCATATAGTTATGTTACTTCCTGTTTTTAAAGCACTGATTAGAATGGAATTTTGTTGCCCAATAAGTCATATAAAATGTGGCACCTGGTACAAATGTACATTAGTTAAAGTTCTTGTAATTCACATCAGTACAACGAGAAAATAAATTTACACCAACATGAATTGTCGTAGTGAACTAATAATCAGGATTATATTTAATAAGGAACAAATAAAACTGGATAGTAAAAATTATGAGGGGAATAATAACCTAAAAACTGAGCGGAAGATAAGGAATGAATGTAACAAAGTCACTGACACTGGTTTGAGTTTTATCCTGAGAAAAAACTGCATAAATCTTATTCAAAAACAGACATTAAGCGGTTTTCCCCTTAACTACACTTTCATTAACTTTATATTAATTCAGTAATCTTATCCGACACGGAGAAAATTCGGCTGTTAATGTATAATTGATTATTCTCGTCAAAATATCTACAACTGTTGAGGATGTGGTATCTATCTTACATACAACTTATGAGGAATAAAATCAATAATGAATTAAGGTGAATTTGAAGTCAAACTTTCAATACATTTTTATTACATTACATTATGGACCGACGATGCATTTTTTGCTGTGATTTGAGTTCAGTGAAAAGTACTCAGATAAAAATTATGATTATTTAATTCATTAGAAGCAGAGATGGATGGTGACTAGCAATGGAATCCAGGACGCGTGTTTCGTCTTATCCGGACTCGTAAGTTGGATGTACCTGCATCTCAGAATCGATATTTATTCCAGGACTCGAGCCTAGTACCGTTCGCTTCAAACGATATCTTGTTATCCACTTAGTTATTGAGTCCGGATATCCACTGGCTTGTGAAATGGGGTAGATTTTTTGTAATCCAGTTGTGTTGGTTGTTTGACTCAGTAGATAGGTGGATAACACGATGACGTTTGAAGCGAACGGTACTGGTTTTGAGTCCCGGACAAGAAAAAACATGCGTCCTGGATTCCACTGCTGGCCACCATCCATTTCTGCTAATAATACTTGTGACTTAATGGCAATGTTGAAGCAATCTGCACAGAATTCAGATATCCCAAAAGAGACTGGCTAATTGAAGTATTAAATACCTAAAGGGAAGATTCAAACAACCAATAAACATGAGTCAAAAATCACTATAATCAACTTATAACTGACTAACTTAAGTGCAATCTCACCTGTAGCTCCTCTAGGGTTACCATCGGTTCCAAGGCCGGGTTAAGGAACGGGGTTGGGTATGGGGTCAGCAACCCCATCCCACAGAAACAACATTTTTAAAAATACGTTAACCAGAGTAAACAGTTTAAACCATTTAAACTCTGTCCTGGGAGTTGAGATATCTCCATTCAAAAGAATTATAACGCCTCATGGTGAAAGGTGATATTCTTCGGAAGTCACGAAACTGATGCCCCCTCTAACATCTAGAGCAACAATTTTTTATAAGTACATGAAGTGTTCTAACAATGTGGGAGGCCGAGAGGACTAGCAAAATAGCTCCGGAAATGAAATACAACTTGAAGGTGCCCGGAATAATTTAAACGCATCGGATACAAACTGGACAGAAAAGGACAGACATGGGTGAGATGTTGTCGTACTCTTGTCACAAAAAATAAAATGCTCCATACACTCAGGGAGTTGTTCTGACGCTATCCAAAAAAGCACGGAATGCACTTTTAAAATGAGAATCTCATGAACCCAGGATCATCAAAGCATCCTTCGAAACAAAGGAGGAAATCACAACGAATGTTAACCAGCGTTATGCACCCACCAATGATTGCAACGACTATGATAAAAATTAGTTTTATGGGAGGTGGCAGTCGATTATAGCGACGTGTTCATGAAAGGACCTGACCATCCTGATGGGAGATCTAAACGCCAAAGTCAGAAAGGGGAACACAGGATATAAGTATATCATGGGACGACATGGACTGACTGGGAGAAAGGAACGAGAACGATGACAAATTTGAGAATTTATGTGAATTCAACAAAATGGTTATAGATGACAGAATATTACCCCATAAACGCACACACAAAGCTACATCGGTCTCATCAGATCACATTACAGAGAATCAGAAAGACCACATTTGTATCAATAAAGAATCCGGAAGGTCAATGGAGGACGTGAGAATCAGGAGAGGAGCTGATATAGCTTCAGATCACCACCTAGTTGTAGTCAAGATTAAACTGGAGCTAAACAAACAAAGGACAACTGGAGAAACAGCAGATACTAACAAACTCAACGAATTCAAGATAACTCTCAACAACAGGTCCCAAGCCTTACAACATCTACTCAAGGAAGATAACACTACAATGTAAAACAACTGGAAAAGGATCAAAGAAGAAGTAACTTCGACATGCCAGGAGGTGCTGGGCCGCAAAAAGCATCATCATAAGGAATGACTCTATGTCAATACCATGGATAAGATTCAAGAAAGGAGAGCAGTTAATAAAATCTGAACAAGAACAGAGAAAGTCAAGGAACGAGCTGAATACATAGAAGCAAACAAGCAAGTAAAGAAGTGCATTAGATCCGACAAGCAGAAATACGTGGGATGCCTAGCAACCAGAGAGGAAAAGGATGCAAAAAAACGAAATATGAGACAGCAATATGACACAATCAGGAAACTGGAATGGAAATATAGTGAACCAGAGACACCGATCAAGGACAAAAAAGGCAAGCTAATCACCGAGATTCAAGAACAGATGAGTAGAACAATTTGAGGAACTCTTGAATGGAACAGCTCCATTCAATCCACCACCCATTAAAGCAGCACACACAGACCATCCTATAGATGTAACTCCATCAACGATCGAAAGGATCTGGATGGTCAACGGACAGACACATTCCAAGTGAAGACCGCAGTCACACAAGGCTGCTTACTCCTGTCTTTTCTCGTTCTTCCAGTGTTCTCTTGGATTATAAAGTCCTCCACACATGAAGAGAAGCACGGAATAAAATGGACAGTACGGATGCGGCTAGACGATTTGGACTTCGCAGATAATTTAGCTCACTTACCCCATACACCAACGAATTCAGGTGAAGACAGTCAGTGTAGCAGCAATCTTGGCAGCAGTAGGCCTCAAAATAAACGAGGGAAAAAGAATGATCCTGAAATGCAACACAGAGTGCACTAAACCAATCACACTTGATGGAGAAACTCTGGAGGAGGTGGAAAGTCTCACGTATCTGGGCAACATCATCGATAAACAAGGATGATGATGTGAAGGTAAGGATTGGCAAAGCAAGGGCAGCATTCCTACAATTAGAAAATGTCTGAGACTCAAAACAACTTTTAACCAACATCAAAGTCAGAATCTCCAATGCGAACATCAAGACAGTTCTACTGTATACAGCTGGAACTTGGACAACTGCTACATCCATCATCAGAAAAGTACAAATATTTATAAACAATTATCTACGCAAAATACTCGATATCCGTTGGACGGATAGCATCATCAACAGCCGACTGTGGGAGAGAACAAACCAACTTTTAGCTGAAGAGGAAATTAGGAAAAGAGTCAGGAAATGGATAGGACATACATCGAGGAAATCATCAGACTGAATAACGAACATCGTTGGATGGAGAATGCTGGTAGGCGACCTATGCTCCTCCACGACGAGTAACGGGCGTAAGTAAGTAACTTAATTGCAATTTTATTCTCCATTCATCTAGGGCTTTCACCAAACACATTCCCAACAGAACGTCTCTCTCACCGACCGCCCAGGGGATTACTGTTGAAGTGTTGTATATTACTTCTCCGGTCTATCCAGTTAGCACAGATTTCATGCCATACTAAAACAATTTCCTGATCGTTTACATTTTCAACTCACAACAACAACAATGAACATTTTAGGGGCTAACAGAACCTAGTTCTCAGTTTAATTGACAGAATGAAATGTTTGACAATATATATTTCATGACTTTATGGTGATATTATAGGGGCTATCCGGGTGACTTTAAACTAATGTTAATAGGTTATTAATCCTCATACTAAAATTAACTACTATCAAGAAGAAACATTCAACAAAATAATGAATCCCTACCTGAATTTCAGTAACCAATACTAAAGAAAATGTCCATGAGGAACACAGAAACATTTACAAGCTTTATAAAAAAAGGGACCGGCACATCACAATTACATGTAAAAGATATTACGACGAAACAACTTGATTATGTCTTTATAAGAAGCGGATATACATAGTCACAAAATGAATAAGTAGAACGTCCATGATCAAATATTTAACTACGATGACCACAAGAACAAAATACTTTTTAAGTGTTGTATTTGTTATTTTTGCTAAGATGTTGGGACTATTTATAAAGAAAAATATTTACTCTTTTTATCCGAAGGCAATTTGATATAAGTATTATTCGTCACAATACAGTCTGCTACAGACTTCCTCTGGGAAAGCTAATAAGTGGATTTTTCTTAGTGCATGAACTGAATAATCACTCTATATAAATCTATGAAACAGTGCAAAATTTATTTCTATTTTCTAACTAATGAATAGTTGTGTGATTGCAGAAACGTGATTACTAACTAACCGAAATGCATAACCTAGAACATAAATAAAATCGTCTATTGAGACTCATTCACACACTTCAATATGGAAATTTATAAAGCACTTTTTGTACCACAAAATTACATATAGCTATTGATCTAAAAAAAGAATAAAATGAAATTTAATAGACAAATCTCTTGCATACCAAGGTATACAGCAAATATTTCTTTACGTTCAGATAGATTTGGTAAATTAATAAAAATATGTCTGTCAAACCGTCCTGCACGTAACAGAGCTCTATCTAACAAGTCAGCTCGATTTGTCGCTCCAAATACAATAACACCTTCAGTTGTATCCATTCCATCCATTTCTACAAGTAGTTGATTCAGTGTCTGTTCCATCTCAGATACACCACCACCACCCTCTCTACAAGAAATAAAAACAAAGTTTATACATCACATGCAAGCGATGAGAAGAAATTTACTACAGTGAACTGGATGTGCTACACTTGGACAAGCAGTATTAATACCATAACTAAAGGATTTGGTATCCAAACCCTAATTGGTTACGCAGATTCCCTCATCCCCAAGACTTAATCGGAACGTGAGAGAGAATAAGAAAATCGAAGTGATATTTGTACCTACAACACAACAATTCACATGATCAAACTCATGAGCCATATGATTATGATGCGTCATAAATCAAAAATTAAAATCTGTTCTAAACTAGGGCATTTAGGATACAAAGTTGGAATAATGGGCTTATAATTAATTTACAGTGATCTTAGAACAGAGAAGGATACGAAAACAGTTAATGAATCGAATAAAGGTTTGCAGTTTGAGGCATATAAAAGTCCCATGAACTAAGTGTTGGTGATCACATATTACGAAATAAAAGTAATGAATCATTTGTAAGGATTGTATGAACAGAAAAGGTGTATTAATATAAACAATTAAGATATGAATAACAGAAGGAAAGTAAAGAACGATGAATAATATGTTCAGTATTATAAACAAAGCACGTGTCGAATAGATTTGTATCATACTCTCAATGGACATAAGTTGGGCAGATTATATTCTTTTACTATTCGATTATATTACCTTAACACCCTTACATAAATAGTCTAAACCTAACTACATAACCCAAACCAAAGGATAGTAACTTCATGAACTGGAGGAAACAATGGTTTCCACTTTGCTTAAGGCCTTCACCGTATTATCCTAGTTGTCATGAGAAATACCTCCAGATAATTTACTACCGTAAAAGTCATAGACTGAATTCATAATTCAACGACTTCATGATCTACTCACAGTTTAGAGAGAAAGAGAGAACACTACTTCATTCACTGTTATACATGATTGTTTCTTACTATCACCTTATCGCTAAATGGAGAAGTTCTAAATAATCTTCATCATGAAAGGACAAAAAAGGTAAAAAATAAACTGCGTTGGACACGAGTTTATATCTAGTTCACAACTTCCTTAAAGTATTCACAGACGACTTTCTTACCATTACCCTAAAGAGTTGAAAATCCCATTATGAACATATGCTGATATATAGAATAGATGAAATATGACTGGTAGTGGAATCCGGGACGGGCGTTTCATTTTATTTGGGACTTGTAAGCTTGATGTACCTGCAAACTCAGACTATTTCAAATTGAATATCAAACTGTGTTACAACACATAAAAATGTCTATCAAATGTTTGTCCATGAAAAGTTTAAAAGGTACTTAAAACTGGTAACACAATAGTAACCAGTATAGGGGGTTTTGGAGATTATTAAGTTTCCAGGTTTCCAAAGGTGGTCTAACATCAATCGGTTCATGATCTCAATCAAGAACTAAGTAATCTCCACAACCCCTAAACTGGTAATTAACATGTGCTCACTAGTGACTAACTTCGTGAGGGAATTCTCGGAGTTCTGGTGAGAAACCGTGATCAGTGGAGCTATTCCATGTCGGGTAGAGACAGGTATCTACCTCAGTACAATGGAAGATGGTCGCGCAGTTTCGTGGATTGGTTGATGTTAGACATTAACACCATTGGATGCCGGCTCAGTGGTAGAGTAGGTTAAGCGTTCCCGCGAGCAGGATCATGGATGAGCACTGCTGAGGAGTCCCACAATAGGACAAGACGACCGCCCAGTGCTTCTAGGTTTCCAACAATGGTCTAACATCAATCGATCCATGGTCTCAATCAAGAACACGATAGTTATTTGTGTATTCAATATTATAGATATTCCAACAAGTGTCCCAGTAGTGAACAAGTAAAATAAATTCATGGAGAAATTTTCTTATACATCATCGAGAAAACCAAATACGTACCAACACAACATAAAATTACTATTATTATTATTATCACAGATTACCTCTGATCACCAGAATCACGACGTCGACCAAGGGAATCAAGCTCATCTATGAATATTATAGCTGGTGAGTGAGAACGAGCTACTTTGAAAAGCTGTCGTAATCGAAGAGCACCAAGTCCACCGACAACCTCTACAAATTGTGGTCCAGCCATTGAAAAGAAAGGTACTTCTGCTTCATTGGCCAATGCTTTAACCTAAATGGTAAAGTATTTCAGTTTATAGCTAATTATCATTAACAACAAAATTCATTTTTAATTTTTTCATAATATATTGCTAAGTCTTGGGATAAGATAATAATGCATTGGGTCAAAAAGAAGATTGGTAGAAAAAAATCGATTGAATGAATTGACCATATTTGCACTGGTAATTTACACCATACAACATTCACAGATGACAAGAAAGAGACATCCTTTAAATAATTACTAATTTAAGGTAATCTGAAGATTATACCGCTGACAAAAACTGAAGTTTCCCATTGAAAATTTGTGAGCAGAAATACATAGAATGGAAGATATGTGCTAAATTTTTATTTTATGTTCTATAATTCAAAAATGATGAATGCAATAAATCTTATAACATGGTTATGAAATCCTTAGAGATATTAAATTCACCATATAACAATATTACATTTATACACCTAATAAATGAATTTTAAAATCAAATTATTTCACATATATTTTAAACTTAGTTGAACTGAAGCATGTTGTAAGAACATTTTTATCAAATTTATTAAAACAAACAGAATATAACACATACAAGCAAAGTTTTTCCAGTTCCCGGTGGACCAAGTAGAAGTGCCCCCTTTGGTAACTTAGCACCTAACGCTTGATACTTTTGAGGATTTTTTAGATAAGAAACAAACTCCATAACTTCTTGTTTACATGCATGAAGACCAGCGACATCCTAAAATAGTTATGAAAAAAGTGAAAATAAATTCCAGGAACTACATATATGATTACGATAATAAAGCTGCAATATATATATATATATATATATATATATATATATATATATATATATATATATATATATATATATATATATATATATATCGAGAGACATGATAGAAAATTAATCGAAGAGAAATTTTTCGCTATATTTGTTCTCCTAACTAAGTTTTGAAATGGGGGTTTTCAATATACTGGAATACATAGCCATCACCAAGGCTACGGAGGACCACATAAAATTAGAACAACATTATGGTATTTAGATCATCTCGTGATTCTAAACTTCCAAATAATGACTTACCACTCTCAAATATGGTTTTTGACTAGTCGGGATGCTTTTAATGTTGCGCATTTTCTTAAGTCATGTCTGTTCATAAATCATCATCAAAGAAATATTTGAGCTAGATTTTATAGAGGCTATTAATGCCATTACCATAATACTCGTCAAACAAGTCAAAAAAGCAATGTTTTTGCAACAAAGCTGGTGTTTTATTTGAAATTTCGCAAATGTATCAACCGTCTTGCTACTCATCTGTATGTAAACATTGTTGAGTATCGTTATTGTCTCTATATACCTATGTATCGAATTCGGACAACAGCTTCACATGACCTATCATGTAGTTGGAAGTGCATCTGTCGATTAAGTACAGTTCACTGGAAAATCTCACATGGTAACTGTGTTAACCCAAGAGCCAATTTTCCTAGAAAGGCTAGCACCCTTTGCCTCGTAATCAGAAATCGATACCATAATGAAACAAGTACAGCAACAATGTGTTTTCAAACTAATATCTTACTTCATTTGAAATCACTTGTTGTCACTAAAATTTCCAACAGTATAACAATTCCCATCAGTTCTCACTCGTCTAACAGACTGTACTACAACTAAAAAATGTAGCGTCTCACCTTACCTCACGGATTTCCGTCTCCGGCGGTAAGGCCCTTTGAAGAACGGAGCTAACACGTTAAAAACCTTCCACAAAAAAACCGTGCGTGACCGGCCTCAAGCAGTTGTCCCTTGAGCTCTGTGGTCAACACCCCCAGGTCGTTACGACCAACACTAATCCAATTTCCTTTTCAGGTTCCTCAAGAAATACCCTTCCACGGTGTGGGCAGCCGGGAAGTGACATCAGCCCTCATACCCGTAACAGCACACGAGACCAAGTTGGTCACATTCAAATCCTTCCTACACCTCCTAATACCTCTCTTATCTCCATGACTAACCCTCCTCACGTTTCTTTATCACCTCGCACCGCTAGGGCAAACGATTCGAGTACGCGGAACAATATTCCTGGTCTCCTGAAACCACGCTCTAAACTACACGTAGGAGCTTTTAACGTACGAACACCGTGCCAAATAGGACAACAGGCTTCCTTAGCTAGGACTTTAAAATCTCGCGCCATCGATGTGTGCTGCGTCTCCGAAACGCGCATACAGGATCCAAGTAGCGTCATTCATTTAACCTCACCATGCCAAAATAAAGAACCGACTCGATTCACACTTCGTGTATCTGGAAGCCCTGATGCTGTTTCTCGTGGCCTCTCCGGCGTAGGTACAGCGTTGAGTCCTAGGGCAGGACTAGCTCTCTTAGACTGGATCCCAGTAGACAGTCGTTTGTGCGCTGTCCGACTGAACGGAACAGTAAGAATCCGGAAAGATAGGGACACTCGTCGTTGCCTCGTCGTCGTCTCTGCCTACTCTCCCACTGACTGCAGCTCAGATGATGTAAAAGATGAGTTTTACAGAAAGCTTTCCGACCTTCTCCGAAAAGCTAGGCGCTCGGATGTAGTAATAGTGGCTGGTGACTTTAATGCTCAAGTAGTTAAACTAAGCGATAGGGAAAGACACCTAGGTGGATCTTATGTTGTCGTGGCTCAAAGAACAAATAATGGCGACTGTTCGTTGCAGCTATGCTCAGATAACCGCCTGTTTCTCGCGAATACTAACTTTAAGCATAAACAAAAACATCTTTTAACATGGCGACCCCCTAATTCGTCCCAACGTTGGACCCAAATAGATCACATCGCTATCAGCTGCCGATGGAGGGGCTCGATAGAAGACTATCGCTCATTCTGGAGCACATGCTTAGATTCAGATCACGCTCTAGTACGAGCGCGTATTTGTCTGCGCCTTACTGGATGTGGAAAAGACGCTGCAAGGAAACCCCTTAGGGTCCTACTTAATGATAGCCAAGCTAAGAATATATTTCAGGAACGATTAGAAAAAGTTAGGCAGCCATGTAAGTGATGCCCACCCCGAGGCAGCATGGAATGATATCCGAAAAGCTGTGGAAACAGCAGTGATATCTGCTAGTACGGTAAACCATAAGGTTAGGGAGAAACACTGGATCTCAGCAGCATCTACCGCACTGATAGATGCTCGGAAACTCATTCCACCCGGCTCTGAACATAATGAAGAGCGGAGTCAGCTTAAGCGCAACCTGACAAGAAGTCTACGCAATGATCGCGAACAGTGGTGGGTAGCGAAAGCAAGAGAGATGGAAAAGGCAGCGGCAAAAGGTAATAGCAGACAATTGTTCAGACTCGTTAAGGAAACCGGTATTAGGAACCCAACTGTTAGCGAAACAACCTCAGAGAAAGATGGACATTTTATTCATTCTCAATCCAGGAGATTGGATCGATGGGCAGAACACTTTAGGGATCAGTTCAACTGGCCTTCAGGGGGAGAGCAGCAGGCCCTGACAGGTTTACCCCTGAGATTTTTAAGGATGGTGGTCCAGTATTATCAGCGAGATTGACTGAGGTCTTGGTTAGAATTTGGGAACTGGACGTAATCCCATCTGACTGGTCTCAATCACTGATTGTGCCAGTCTATAAGAAAGGACAAAAGTCCTCTTGTGACAATCACAGAGGAATCAGTTTGACTAATATAGTGTCTAAAATATTAGCTTCAATAATACTTCGACGCCTAACCAAAGCTCGTGAAGAGCAGATTAGAGAAAACCAGGCCGGTTTTCGACCTGGACGTGGTTGTATAGATCAGATATTCACACTACGTCAGGTTCTAGAACACAGACACACATTCAGACGCCCCACAATGGTAGTATTTCTCGACCTTAAGGCGGCATTCGACTCTGTTGATCGTGAGGTTCTATGGCAGTGTTTGTCACTGAAAGGAGTACCAAAGAAGTACATTAACCTTATAAAGGCTCTCTACTCGAACACAACTGGTAGAGTGAGAGCTTATGGCGAACTGTCATCAGAATTGATTACCTCAAGTGGTGTTCGTCAGGGCTGTCCACTCTCCCCATTCTTGTTCAACTTTGTCGGTGACGTACTTTTAGAGATAACACTCTCCTCATCTAAATTTCCAGGGGTTGAACTTCTACCAGGAGGTTCACTTGTTGACTTAGAATATGCTGATGACATAGTTTTATTTGGTGAAGACGCTGACAAAATGCAGAGTCTTCTGACCACTCTAAGCAACAATGCAAGCATGTTCGGGATGCGATTCTCCCCCTCGAAATGCAAAATGTTGCTTCAGGATTGGGTTGCATCGACACCCGAACTAATGATAGGGAGTGAAGTAGTTGAGCGTGTCGACCGCTTCACTTATCTTGGAAGTCTCATCAGCCCTTGTGGTCTGGTGTGTGACGAAATCTCAGCACGGATACAGAAGGCTCGACTAGCTTTTGCCAACTTGCGTCATTTATGGCGTAGGCGAGATATCCGTCTATCAACCAAAGGACGTGTTTACTGCGCAGCAGTTCGTTCCGTCCTACTTTATGGCAGTGAAACATGGCCGGTAAGAGTAGAGGATATTCGTAGGTTACTAGTATTTGATCATAGGTGTCTTCGAAATATTGCTCGTATATCCTGGGACCATCGAGTAAGTAACACAGTTGTTAGGAAACGGGTACTAGGTAAGGATGGCAAATCAATTGATGACGTAGTGAAACTTCATCAGTTGAGATGACTGGGACACGTGTTATGTATGCCCAACCACCAACTGCCTTGACGTGCGATGTTCAGTGGTGTAAGAGTAGGTTGGAAGAAAGCTAGGGGCGACCAGACCAAAACATGGCACAAGTCCATGAAGTCATTGACAAGTGGACTGAGTCATGTTGGTAGGTTTAGACTACCTGGCTGGGATCCGCAAGATGATAGCAACCGATGGTTAGGGACTTTGAATGACATGGCTCAAAATCGTTTGCAATGGCGCAGGTGCATCCACTCTTTGTGTTCTCCCAAATTCTAATCTTCTGAATTCTTCATATCCCTTTTTTTTCTCTTTCCAAATTTATTTCACTGGATTAAACTCCTTGAATAACATCTTCAATCCCTAGTCTTTCCGACTACTGCTTATACTCTTACTACCTCTAACACTACGGGATTTGAATCGACAACTGCATCTCTGTGCTAATATGGTATGGCAACTCGAACTGATGTACGTACGTACGAAGTTCTACGTTGTTTCTGACTGAATGACTAACTGATTACTACTCATCCCCAGTTCCTGACTAGCTTCTCGCCATTCATAGTGTTGAAAGTCACCTTTCAAATGCCAATGTAGGTGTATATCTGCAAGTGGAACTTGACCATACTATTACGGGGAAGAAACGCAAACAGAAATGGATTACAAAAGACTAGGTATAAGAATTTACTTGATTCCCATATCCTGTAAACTGTTAAGCTATTTGTTTATTTTAAGTAAACATCATGTTGTAGCATCTACGAACAAGGTAAATTGAATACTCGATTCATACTTGTATAAAGAACCTAATACGTACGGAATCTTTTAAACCACTAGATCCCTCTAACTAAAAAATTGGAGTGAATAGGATTTAATTAGTCGACAAATGTTTATACAGTGAACTACTACAACACACACACACATTGCCATACTTGACCTGAATAAGTGTGTTTAGCAAAACGTTCCACGTCAAGAAAATCAATTTCAAAAAACACTAAACAGACGATGCTTAGCATTCAAATGAAAAACATTTATAGACATTAACTACACTACCCATCACCTAGTTTCGTATACTTAATAAAGGACAAGTGAAGTATTAAAATAAAATGTAAAACTGGGAAAATAAAGCTATCTGATTACAAATAACACAAGCAACTGAATTATTCAAGCTACGTATGTCATGTGATGGCTGAAAAACAAGTGAAAACTTAGTTAAAATAAAGTATACCTTAAATTTTACGGTGGATGTTGTAGGTTTAATTGTATTGAAACCAGTAATAGGATCCCACTGGAAGGGTGGACGAAAAGAAAATCGGTCGTTTTCAGAATCAAAACTTGACCCGATGTTTTCGGTGGCTTAGGGTCATCATGATACTTTGAGATATTTATGGACTTCTTCATAATACCGCTATTCGCTGCTTTTTCTAAGTTCTTTTTTTGAGACAACATTCTCCTCGTTGAAAATGTGAACAATCCACAAGATATAAATAGAAGACCAGTACACAATTTCGTATTCCATCTTTGCATGAACGTGTTCAAAGGTCTGAGAATAAGTTTAAAAACGCAGAAAAGGGTTTTTAAGAAGTTTGGTATTTATATGAAAGTGGTCCGTAAGTGTACAAGAAAAAAATCCAATGACAGAATGAATACTTAGATTTTATTTAGATTATTTCAAGACCAATTGGTAGTTACAATTGGGCACTTTGTAATATGATTTAAATTTCGTGAAACAGTATTTTCAGTATATGCAGGATCGTGATGACACAAAATGTGACCTCGTCAAATTTTAGGAATGTTTTTAAACACTAGCTACTACGATTTTCTACAGTTACGTCATCATTTGAGGGTTATTGGTCAGTCATTGCATTTTAACTAGACACGAACAACTCAGTACTAATCAGCACCAATTTTAGGTATATTACATTCGAACAACAACCAGAACTAGTGCAAAAATAAAACAAGTGTCTATATAGGAATCGCGTAGGTAACTTTTAGCATACAAAGTTAACTGACGAAACAAACAACTACATGGACACGTTCACAAGCGTTGATTGGATCTGACAGATTACTGAGATCATTTTGTCTATGAAAGTATGAAACTTATTCGTTATGGGTATACCTTCCTATTATTTATTATTTATTTGAGCACATAAATATTAGTACAAGGGGGCACCAAATATATATGTGGCGCATACCTTTCTAACATTGGCCGTACCTGATAACATAATATAAAGTGTAAGACGCTATTCAAGGTCAGTGTGAGTCAACGGATACTTTCCTCTATACAATCGTGAGTATCATAAATCTACAACTAACTCGCTCCTTTAGCTTAATATTTATATATTATTCTGAATATTTGGTTGAGTAGTTTCGTAATTCCTTAAACAACAAGCATAAATAAAGTAATATTTAAACATTCACTTGGTTGGTAAACCATATACTTTTAAAATCATAAATTTACTTACAAGTCAGACATCTGGACTGGGATACGGTCATGTTCTTCAATGCCCCACGTATCCTCTAGGGATCGTAATTTTTTTACAAATTCATTTACAGGTACTGAGTACTTCAAAATCAACTACAGAAAATTTTGGATAATAATTAACAAGTGAGAGTATAGTAAAGTAGGGAGGAAATATCTTAAAAACATGTAGGAGTTTTTAAGTAACAAACATTTTTCCGACTCGTTAGCGTAGAAAACTTATAGTAAAAACTAAGACTATCTGGATAAGATCAACACAAATCAAGTTGAATATGTAGTAATTGTGCTCCAATTCTCTAACTCTCTTTAGATAGAAACTCATAATGAGAATCAATCAGTCAATCTCACTGATAACAGGAATCAAAAGCACAGATTCTGTCAATCCAGACTACTTGCGGTTTAGAATGAGACCTTGTATATAATTACAGGATAAAATGAAAGGTAACCTACGAAAGCCGATAACCACAATATGTTTTCGAATGGGGAAATTCTTAAGTCTACTGTCACCAAACATATGAATATAAAACACTTCAACCTAAAGCCCAGTATTGCTTACAGAAGACAACTACGACTTGGGACTGAAGTTACTCAGGTTTGGCACGATCGGGGTACCTTGAATCAATTACTTTGTACGAGATTACTGTTCAACTTAAGTTTTATACTTGAACTAAAAAACGGCAAAAATAAACAAAAACCATGTGACCTGTTAGGATTGGTTATTCCAAGCTTGGTACGTAAAGTGGAGTAAATTTTCCTGACCCATCGAGATATTCGCTAATTAGGATCTTAAGCGCTGTAAAATACAAAATCTTTACCCCCTTTTGGTGCTTATGGCATGCATGTTAGATAAAATATTAGCTTACAGGCAGTTGACCATGTTGATAAGTGAGAATGTACACATCACCGGAAGACGTTATTTGTATCCTTTGAACTTCACCTCTTTCCAACATAGATACAAGCATTCCGAAAGTTACTTGAGGTATATGGGGTACATTAGCAATTAACCACCACGCAATTAACAAGAGGGCAAATGAAGCACCACCCGCAGCTAATGCATAAATGTCCACATTGTATGGGTTATTTTGGGAAGGATCATCACTCTGGTGGTCACTGGAATAATCTGTCGATTCACATTATTGAACTGACTGTTTTACTTACTAGCATTTGTAGATCCCCATTTCCACTTGATCTTGATTTAAACTACATAATAAAAAATATGAGGATATATATACCAGACGTGCTGAATACTGCCCGACACGACTAATTAGCGGAAATGTAGAGTAACATATCCTAGGAATGGATGCTCCAGTGAGGTGCCTCAGGCTGCCAAGACGAAGCAGCTGATTCATTGTGACCTTACATTCAAAAGTCCGCTGAATAAGGTAGTCCAAATGACCATGATCCCATAGTGTGGATAGCAATCATACCCTTCACACCCAAAGTATTTACCTTTTATGAAAAAACAACCTTTTGAATGCTTCTGGACACCTGAAAGAGACCATTATTAATTAACTTCAAATATCTAATATTTCTGTGAATTTGTTCCGATAACATACTCAATTAGACACCTCTTTTATACTTTCATCAGCTTAGCATCCCATGAATGTCAAGACTGTCTAAATGGACGAAAGTAGAGGGCAAGCAATCGACAAAGTGGAGTAAAGGATCACAAGCCAAAAATGCTTATGTATAGTGAACCCAGAACATTCGAGATGCATAACAATTGTACTACAACTCGTAGCCCACTTCAGATATACAAATTGTTTTTGAGACAAGGTGATAAGTCTTGCAACCGAACTCCTAAATCACTTTCTTAAGTTTTCCTGGTAACACCAGGCTAAATTTAGATGACAACTTGAAAACGAGGGGAAGGGCGCGAAGTGTGTGAGAACGTTTTTCTCCAAGGTTAGTTTATATACAGAAAGTCGAAAGTATTTACGGTATATCAAATTGTCTCAGGCTTCTGAAAGTTCCTGAGGTATTTCTAAATATATTAGCAGAATTTTAGCCATCCAGTCAGAAATGTGAATTCACTTTCTAGGTGTTTCTAAGAAACTTGTACTGATTTATAGTTCCTTTGTATTATACTGTCCGCTGATTACGAGTTGCAAATATAGTACTTTCATTTAGTTCTGTCTGCCCTAAAATGCACTATTTCGGGAATTCTCAGTTAGCACATTAATTCGAATTCTTCTATTATACATATATTTTAATCTACTTAGATAAAATGTTTCTCAATGTTTTCAGGCCGCTCTGTACTTTCATGAGGAATACCTTATATCTCCGCAACACGAAAAATGTAGTTTTATAAATCTTGCCCCGTGTAACTTCTTCTAACAGTTTTTCAAGGAACTGATCTTCTTAAACTCGCTCGAATTCAAAAGAAGACACTGATCTTCAGTACGAGTTATCTTCAACAACCCTGAAACTGCAAATCAAACGTATTGAAACAGATTAGGAAATTACTATGTGACACATCTACAGATAGGGATGGTCCTGTAGGGTCAGTGAAATGTCATTGTGCCATAGCCAATATATCCGGCAGTCGAGTCACTTAATGTTGAACAATTCACCGGTCCTTGTCAATTCCAAAGATAACCAATGCGCATTATTTAATCGCACGCCGAGGACTGGTCCATACGGTGGTCGTCTCAATCTCTTCGTTGTACCTACTCTTACTAATGTATTTCTGTAATAACAACCTGTGTGTCATATGACGTTCAAAGTAAACATGGTACCATGATACGACGAAAGGATAATCCATGTTAGGTGCTGACCGCAAGGTGTAACTTCGAAGTTGACCGTTTCTTCACAGCATTCCCGTCTAACTCGAGTAAGCCTCCGATCATTCGACGCAGATCATCTACGTTGGTAATCCACAGCTCAATCGTACTGATACGTTGTCATCATAGTGCCCTTAATAAGTTGCACAAACCGTCACATCCAGGTGTTCGAGCGACCGTCAGGCGCAGAGCAGAACGATTTCGCAATCCTGGTATGAATAAAGACTTGAAGGAGTGGACATGCTCTGGTGTGAGCTTCAGATAATAAGGGGCAAATAGACAATAAATTGTCCGTAGGCTGAATCTCAACTTCTGAGGCTCATTTCGAACATTTTCATCTTGATTTGGCAGGACCATTGACAGCATTTCGTTAGACAGCCCTGTCATTTAGTTGTTCCTTCTTTCTGCCGTGTGCTTTAACCCTTATTCAGGTTTCTTTTAACCACACTTTGTGTTTTATAGTCTTCATCATCTGAGCTCTTATTATGCGACTTTGATCAAATACTTACCTTCGTCACTTAATTTTTCCGTTGCATGTTGCCAGACTATTGACAATAAAGTACTATTTGACTGGGCTCAAGGTCACGACGTGGTTCGGTGTATGGCTACTAACCTTTGACTGTATGCCTGGAAAGATTGCTAAAATCCTTACAGATAGATATCTGATCCACTCTTGTTATGAATAGTGTTATGGATTCTCAGGCATCAAACCCCATTTTATTAACTATTCCTTTAGTTGTTTCGCATGTTATTTTGTGTTACAGTAACCCTTGACCTTATAGCATAGGCTGTACCGTTTGAGGAATTTCGTACTTTTGATATATTTTATTCTCTTACTCAAATTCGAACGACTTAGACTGAACACATAATTCGTGTTTTGATATGATTCATTGCGAGTCACTCGAAATTGCTCTGTACGATACACAGAAGAACCTAGTCTTGCCTAATCGAATAAATTTCAGTTCGCTAGTTCTTCATTCAAACGAGTATTGGCACTGCAGTCGTAATACCTTTGATTAGGACGGTGAAAAATCAAAGTAATCAGAAGTAGCCAAATAAAAAGGTTAATTGTTTGCCATCGAAAATTACTTGAACATCAGGTCCATTTCACTAGCCGAGAGATCGATTTGTCTTCTGAGTGCTAGATTTATATATATATACGTATATATATTTCGTTCGGTAGCCGAATATACTTCCTCGTCCACTCTTGTGTTCTCGCTCAAGTTGTCAGTTAGGTGTTTAGTACGCAGCACAAAATGTACTAATATCAGATTTCGGTCACCATCTGCAATAACAAACGCAGCAGAGGGCAACATCGGAATCAGATTACTTAGATTTTAATTTCTTTTACTGCGGACTTCCGATCGCACAATCGATCAGCACAGTTCACACAACCGAGATGCGATCCTCCATAAATAACAACCACTATGATACTTTGCTGATATTGGATGGCCAGCCCGAAACGACTCGCTCTGGAAGATATTGGAAATTCCAAATACACTTGAAAATCTACATCACGTAATATCCATTAAAAGTAAAGCGAAGAAAGGCCGAACATCAAATTCACAAGTCAAAAGTGTGAGCTTATAAAACGGCACACTCCTACATGAGAGGAGAATAATAAGATAGACAAACAAAAGTGCGACCATGACGAAGGTCCGCATTATCAAGAGCGGCAATCATAAGATATCATATTAATGAAGATGATCAATGAAAAAGGAAATAATAATTTTAACTATGTGAAATATGTTCGCCTCACCATCTATTCTTTTGTCGTACGACCAACTAAAAAAGTATTTTCCTGAATGTATGAAGAGTCTATAAACACTAATAAACACTGTAAGTTCTCGAATTGGATAACGAATTGTAATTACTCCGGTTCAGTTATATCGTACGTCTATTCGAAACAGCTACGATATAACCTACTGAAATGGATGTTTGCTTATCTTGGACCTCATATCCAATTGTTTCATTATGAAATCAAGCCAAATATTTTATTCAAATAAATAGACGCAAAGTTACATTATATTTTGGTGCGCTTTCGCAGCAAATACCTGGTTGTAACCAAGTCTACGACCTATACATTTTCAATCACTCAAAGTTGTCTAATAAACTCTGGATTTATAAATAGTACAGTATTTTTGGTTGTCGATCTTATTAATTCCCAACCTTCCGAGCGTGCGTCATTTTCACTTGCACTGCTGCTGGCTCATCTGCTGGTGTCATGCGCCGCACATAAGTTATTTTACAAGCCTCTCTATTGCGTTTCCAGTGTTCCACAGTCAACTGGTTGGTTTTCAACTTCTTACTGCGTTAAAATCAAAAGTATGTTTATGTGTGCACCTTATTTAAAAATAAGTCAGCTCATAAACATGCTTATACATATGTATATTTTCTTCATAAAAAAATTAAAGACAGACCATTTTCGTGTGCCATTTCTTGCTGTCACCTGGTATATAAACGTGTAATTACCGGGTTTCTTACACACGTTTTGCTTGCTGAAGTAAGTGTGAGCGCATTTCGACATAAACTTATATTTTCATTCCTCACTTTCCTCGGAAAAGACGAAAAACGAAAACAAATACGACGGTGGAACTTTTCATCGTAGACTCTTTTCGGTTTCGTAACGTTCCGAGACATCACCAGTAAACTTAATAGGTCTGGCGTGCCTGTTGAAATCGCGCGGTAGTGCCTTCACTACTGCGAGTAATTGTGCACGTGAATCGGTCACACAATGCTTGTGGAAGTCAGCTTTTGCGTAGCAGAAACAGGCTTCGATGTTGTCAGGCCAAAGTGGCATTAGCTGGAATGAGGGTTTTGATCTTAAAGAATCTAAGAGTTTGTTCGTTCATGATGAACACAAAGTATAGAAATGAAAGAGAAAAATACGCCCCAAAAATGTGAAGAGATATCACAATATCTAAAAATTAAAGTAAAAATATGATGTATAAAGTTCCGAAAAGAAACAGATTCACAGTTTACGGACTATTGTACCAGATCACATCAAGCTTACCATCAAAGATGCTATAAGTATTCGGAATTTGACAACACCTTAACCAGTAACACCTCTATAAATGAAACGTGCCAACCTAGTGAAATTAGAACACAGATGCGAAGAGGATTGAAGATTTCTTTGATAAAATATCGATAAATCAAGAAGTGACCAATGTAAACTGGCT